TGATTTAGCTTCTCACCTTCCTTTTATTCCTTTTAACCCCTACTTTTTACATAAATACACATCATCTAAAATTAAAATTACAATCTATTTTGACTTTTTCTTGAGCTCCCTGACGCTTGATGACAAATGAAACTCACTGGTCTGGCGCATTTCTCGCGTGACCTTATCGAACCGCTATGATCAAAATGCAGTTTGGTTGCCAATGGTTCATCGGCGTGTCGAGTTATGATGGACAACGAGCTGGAAAGATAGCCATGAATTACAGGACGAAGCATTTGTCATCCGTGAGTCAAGCATTGCTAAATAAATGAAACTCAGAATACAAAAAAGTCAAAAATAGGCAGGAAGTAGTTAAACAATCTTATTGCATGAAGACTAAACTTGAAGCAAACGTTAAAAATTCTCGAAACCCCCCCCCCCTCTTCAAAAACGATCGGGTATTCACGAGCCCTACCGACCTCTTCCGGTACTTGCGGAATATCCTACGAGAGAATGCCATTCAGCAAGCGCCGAATAGCATGGGAAGCTCAGGTGCCCCGAAAAACACACTGTTTCCATTTTATATATTTTTTTTTCTCGCAAATCTAATACTTCAATAGGCTATGAAGTTACTTTAATATATATTGAAAATGATAAAAATCTAAATCAAAGTCTCGATATCGCATTAGAGAGAGCAGCACTGTAATCACGACGGAGTTTATATCTAGATATTGTCCAAAACAAAAAACAAGGGCGCGGATTTTCGTCTGGTTCAGCTTGAAGAATGTTACCTATCTCAAATGGGCTAGTTCGGATATGAAAGGTATCATCAAAGCGAGATCACTGGTACCGAACGGCCGGAAATCAGAGTGGTTATAACAGTTAAGATTTATGAAATTAACGCAAGGCTAGCAGAAGACCAAACATACACTAATGGAGGATGATATTCAAAATTAAGCTGACTAACCTTACAGCGCAAAGTGAGTTCAGAGCTTCGCCACGAAAACCAAATGTAGTCAGATGATTGAAATCCGAAAAATTCGACAATTTCGATGTTGCATGCGATTTGCCTGCAATTGCCGGGAGGTGGATATCCCAAGAAATTTGGGGATCTTTTTCCGATAATGACAGTTCGATTCCGACAAAACAATTCTTAACAATACATACGCAACGGACGGATGGATCCCCTGCTGCACACTGACTTTACACTTAGGTTGGATCAAACTTATCGCTGAACTTTTTAGCCTCATCGCCCTCAGTGCCCAAAAAAACAGCATACAAATGATACGATTTTAAGGGGTCTCATTAAGTCTAGCTCAAAGAGTACATCATTTTTTACCTTATTCTCCAATCAACTGATAACCAGCGAAACTGACGGTCAAAACTTGCAGTGGTCGCTTTTAGCTAGCAATAAAGCAGTCTTCGCCAACATTTTCTTGCCTTTCCCCGACTGGAGCAAATCATTTTTCCGTCCTTTCAGGTTATGATTTGGTCGGCCTACAAACTTACAAAGTGCATCGAAATCGTCCGAGTGAATACCACTCCCATCGTCCACAGTTTCCAGCGCCTCAAATCCCATCTTTCTTGTCCGAATTTCTGAAAATTCAAAAAAATTCAACGATACTCAATTAACAACTCTACCCCAACTAAAACCGTAGTCTGCACCACATTTCATGTCGCTAGAGAAGCCAAGTTTAAAAAATTGGCCAACGCATGGCTTGCCCGTGCGTTGGCCAATTTCCCTGGCACCTGAGTTAGCTACTTACTGGAACAAAATTTTCACGGGCCCGTGCTTGTTTACCAAGCA